CCATGCAGTGGCCCTGTCCCCGCAGTGGCCCTGTCCCTCTGATGCCCCTGTCCCCGTGGTGACTCTGACCATGTAGTGGCCCTGTCCCCATGGTGTCCTCTCCCCACAGTGGCCCTGTCCCTGCGGTGGTCGTGTCCCTGCGGTGGCCCTGTGCCTGCAGTGTCCCTGTCCCCATGGTGTCCCTGTCCCTCTGGTGTCCCTGTCCCCATGGTGGCTCTGTCCCTCTGGTGGCCCTGTCCCTGCAGTGTCCCTGTCCCCTCAGTGTCCCTGTCCCTCTGGTGACTCTGTGGTCTCTCGCAGATCGCCCGTGGCTGACCGAGTCCAAGAAGGTGCAGAAGCTCCAGGACAAGATCTACGTGGCCCTGCAGCACGAGATCCAGAAGAAACACTCCGCCGAGGACAAGCTCTCRAAGGTAGGGACACCCAGGGGACCCGGCCGGGGGTGCCAGGGGGTGTCTGGGCAGGGGGACAGGGCTGTGCCAGAGCTCTTGAGCCACCYATGGGCGTTTTGGGGAGCGAGACCTCAGACCTGCCAAAGGAGCAGAAGAATTTCTGTGAATCTGCGTTGTGGTGCAGGCAGAAGCAGCCCCGTGCTGCTGAACATGGTAATTCATCAGGAAATGGGGTTTTTTTAGGCTAAAGGAAACTTTTTGGGAATGCTTTGGCCAGGACAGCATTGGGATTTTGGGGAGGAACCCCCCCGTGTGGAAAGATGTGGGTTTGGGGGTGAGACCAGGGTGCTGCCAGGCTGTCCAAAGGTGGGGAGTCTGCTGGTACCCCAGTGCCAGGCAGGGCCAGTGGTCCCCAAACCCTCCAGGAAGGGGGAATGGCAGTGCAAGGGACCCTATTTGGGAACACAGTGGCCCCCAAACCCTCCTGCTAAGCCCAGGAAGGGGGAATGGCAGTGCAAGGGACACTATTTGGAACACAGTGGCCCCCAAATCCCCCTGTGTGTTCCCAGGTTATGGGGAATGGCAGTGCAAGGGATACTATTTGAGACCCCAGTGATCCCCAAACCCCCCAGGAAGGGGGAATGGCAGTGCAAGGGACACTATTTGGGACCCCAGTGATCCCCAAACACTCCTGCATGTTCCCAAGAGAGAGGAATGGCAGTGCAAGGGACGCAATTTGGGACCCCAATGGTTCCCAAACCCCGCTGCTTGTTCCCAAATGGCATCAGGGCCACTGTACCCAGGATCCCAGTAGTCACCAGCTCCTTCCCTCCCTGCAGATGGTTTCCAAGCTGCCCCTGATGAAGACCATTTGCAACCTGCACTTGGACAAGCTGGAATTTTTCCGTCTCCTGCACCCGGAGACCGCCATGAACTTCCCCCCTCTCTACAAGGAGGTTTTCAACTCGGAGCTTCAGTACAGCGACCCCCGGGAGAGCTAAGGCCGGGAGCCAGCAGCCCCCCTTCGAGCCCCCCTAAAAATTTGGAGACAAACTGCACTTCCGAGGTTTGGGGCAGTTTATTGAAATCGAAAAATCAAACTCAAGAGAAGCCCCGGGGGGGCCGCGGCGCCTCCCCGGCCCCGTCTCCCGGCCGTGGATTGCAATAGCTCTTGAATGTAAAGCACCTTGAAGGAAAAAGCAAACGGACTTTGCCATACCAGTGAAATGAATGTGAAATCTCTGCTGGGGAGAGGAGATGCTCCCGGTGATGTGGGAGGAGGGAGCGCCCTTCCCGCTGGCCCGGCTGCACTCTCCGCCTCYGGTTTTTATTGCTTTGTTTTTTAATTATTATTTTTATTTTATTGGGGTTTTTTTTTGTTTTCGTTAACCCGAACACCCAGGCATGGGATGAAGAAGGGGCAGCGCTGACTCGGCTGGATGGGGTTGGGGTTGGAGCTGAGGAGAGGGTAAAGACAGAGCCTTTGCTTTATTCCTTCTCCCATGGGTGCTTGGCCAGGAAAGGTCTGGCTGTGGCTTGTGGGGGATTCAGGATTTTCCCCTGGAGGAGGCTGCTTTGAGGGAAAGGATGCCCAGTGCAGCGGGAGAAAAGTTTTGCAGGGTCTCCATGCCCTCCACCATGGCATTTCCCCAAATTCCYGGCCAGCTGGGCATCCACCTGGCTTTGTGGAGCTGATTGAGCAGATTCCCCTGCCCTGTGCCACCTTTCTGCATCCCCAAAGCTTTCCCAAGCCTGTGGGACTKCAGCCAGAGCCCAAATCCTGGCTATCCCACCCATGGGCACTGGAGAGGCTCCTGTCCCCACAGGATGGCCACACCAACGGTGACTTTCTGGGTGATGTTTTGTGGGGTTTTCCTGTCAATCCCATTAAAACTGCCCCATGGGTCCAGAGCAGGGTTTGTGACCCTTCCCCTGCCCACAGCTGGTCCCATTCCTGTGATCCCCCTTCCCACACCACACACAGGAGCCCAGATGAGGCTGCTGTTCCAGGTTGAGTTGGACCCAGGCTTTCCCCTCAATGAGCTCCTTAAAACTGTTATTTTGGGGTTTGTTCTCTAGTTAGCAGGATTTAGGAGCTTTTTTGGGGAAGGAAATGCCTGTTGGGGTCAGGGAAAAGTGAAAGATCCTTATTCCTTCCCTTCAAGGAWTGAGGATGGTTGGAAGGTGTGTGGTGTGTTTGGGATCTGCTGCTCCTTTTGGGATGCTCAAAAGGGGATGAAGGGAAGGATTTTTGGGGTGATGCTGTMGGAGGCCGCAGCAGCAGGGGATGCTTGAGAGACTCCGTGGCTCTGCAGATGGATTTTTTTTTTCCGTCCCCGTTCCTGCTCCCGCTATAGCGAATGCCAAAAACTACAAGGGAAAAACCCGCTCCGAGGCAGCCCCAGTTTCTRCTGACAAAGGGCTAAAACCCCAAGCCCCTTTCCTGCTTCGTGTGGATTCCTCGTGCACCCAACCCCATCCTCCGGCAGTTCGGATCGTCCCCGAGCATGAGCCAAAAAAAAAAAAACCAACAAAAAAACCTTCAATTCCATAACTGCACCCTTGAAACGAAACGAGCAGCTTTCTTAGTGACGTGAGGGATATTCCTGCTTTTACTAAAACACCTCCTAGGGACAACCACGGACCAACCTCGACGAGGGAAGGCTCCCCAAGGAAGCTGACGGGATTTCTGCTCCGCTCGAAGGCAGAGAGGGAAACGCGGGATCGCTCTCTCCTCCCCGGCAGCCGCCACCCTGGCTTTGCTGAGCACCCCCGAAGTGTGACCGCATCCCGCYAGCCTCGGCTCCCCCAGCTCTCCGGGAAAAGGGGAAAAGGCTGCCCGGAGGAGCCCTCCCGCGCTCCAGTGCCAATGCGTCGCTGTCCAGCACAGCGTCCACGGGGCGGGGATGCCCCCGGCTCCTCTGCCGCCCTCCCAGCTCCTGGAGCTTGGACAGAAGCGAGAAGTCAG